TAACTTTGATACACTTATTTCAAAGTTCTGGGAAGTTGAAAGTGTACCCTTTTTGCCAACTACCACCCCAGAAGATTATGTTTGTGAAAACATTTTCTCAAATACTGTTAAGCGCAATGACTCAGGTCGCTATATGGTTTCGCTTCCTTTTGAAGATGTTCGTCCCATGTTTCCCGGATTTCGAAATTTCGCATATCATCGCTTCCTGTCTCTGGAGCGCCGCTTGTTGAAAAATCCCGCTCTCTATTCCCAATATTCGGATTTTATGCGTGAATATCTAGATTTAAAACATATGGAACCTATCGAAGGTTCTGACATTCCCGATGAATCTTATTACTTAATTCACCACTGTGTCTTAAAACCTGATAGTTCTTCAACAAAATTGCGAGTTGTTTTTAACGCTTCCGCAAAGTTGCCTGGTCAAACTTCTTTGAATGACCATTTGATGATTGGTCCAAAATTACAACAAGACCTTATTAGTATTTTATTGAATTTTCGTTTGCACCCCTTTGCTTTGTGTACTGATATAAAGCAAATGTACCGCATGATTGAAGTTGACCCATGTCAATGTGACTATCAACGTATCTTATTGAGATTTTCGCCCGAAAATCCGATTCAAGATTTCCGCTTAACTACAGTAAGTTATGGAATTAACTGTGCACCATTTCTTGCCCTTCGCACCCTTCGTCAACTCGCCGACGACGAAGGTGCTGTATTCCCGAATGCTGCTCATGCAATTCGACAATTTTCCTACATTGATGATTTTGTTATATCCGTAGCAACTTATGAAGATGCTCGCAGTCTTGTTGATGAATTGATATCTCTCATGAAACTTGGTGGATTCGAGTTACGCAAATGGTGCACTAATGATCCGTCTTTAATCTCCCATCTACCTCCATCGCATGTGTCCAACGATTCACTAACCTTTCATTCGGATTTCCTGAGTTCTTCCATGAAAGTACTTGGTTTACGTTGGAACCCAATCCACGATTGTTTTTTTTTCTCGATTTCACCTGCCAATGACAGGACGTGCACCAAACGTGTGCTTTTATCTGAGCTTGCCAGGGTCTATGACCCCTTAGGCTTCCTTTCTCCTATTACATTTTATACAAAATTTTTATTTCAACGCATATGGTCGTCTGGAATCGGATGGGACGATTCTCCGAGTTATGATATAGTCCGGGCGTGGAATCAATATAAATCTGAATTACGATATTTGTCCGAATTGCGAATTCCGCGTGCTATTCGTCCAGCTAACTATTTAATTTGCGATCTACATGGATTTTGCGACGCAAGTGAGAGAGGTTACGCCTGTGTGATTTACCTTCGAATAATTAGTACGGACGATTCAGTTTCAAATCACTTTCTATGTGGAAAGTCAAAAGTTGCTCCGCTCAACAACACTTTGAGTCGTTATCGAGGTGTGAAAACGACTAAGGCCTATCTTTGCATTTTTGTTTGTTTCGTCACAAAAGCCGTTCACCTGGAGCTGGCTAGTGATTTGTCTGCTGAAACATTTTTATCCGCATTACAACGATTTATCGCGCGACGAGGCCGAGTTTCAATTATCTATTGCGATAACGCTACCAACTTTGTAAGTGCTCATAAACAATTGAATTTAATGAAAGATGCTGCTGCGAAGGAACATATTGAGTTCAAGTTTTCACCTCCTGGAGGGCCTCATTTCAATGGGCTTTGTGAAGCGGGAGTGAAGTCGGTCAAAAGCCATTTATTGAAAGTAATCGGAGATCAGATCCTTACTTTCGAGGAATTCTATACAGTCCTCACGTTGATTGAATCTCTGCTGAATTCTCGACCTCTTACTCCTCTCAGTGCTGACCTAGAGGATATCAATGCTTTAACCCCTGGCCACTTTCTCACCCTAGAGCCGATCTCGTCTTTAAACACTCCTGATTTTTCAACTCTACCGATTAACCGTCTTTCCCGATGGCAGATGCTACAGCGTATTCATCAGGATTTATGGAAGCGGTGGCACCGGGAATACCTGCACACCCTCCAACAGCGTGGAAAGTGGTTTGAAACTGACCATGCGCCGACAATCGGTCAGCTGGTTGTTCTTAAAGATGAGAACCTGCCTCCAACCAAATGGTCTTTAGGTCGTATCCTCTCTCTATTCCCTGGAGATGACGGCATAGCTCGCGTGGCAACGGTTAAAACGGCTACTAACGTTTTGAAGCGGCCGCTCGTTAAACTTTGCCCCCTTCCCGCTGTATAGCTGATTTTTTTTGCTACCATATATTATGTTTTTTGTTTTCGTCCCAAGTATTTGACTAGAACTTGAGTACTTGATTTGAGCTGAATGATTTTTTTTAATTTTTTTTTATTTCTATTTTCTTAAAAAATGCCACATTGCATTTTTGCTGGGCAGTAATGTTACGTCAATACTTATAAGTGGTTGATATAGTGAATTATTCATTTTCCATTCAAATTTATTTTCGCGCTATAAAGGCACTAAACGGCGCACGCCCCCGCCTGATAGTCAATCGTCAGGCCTCGGACGTTACCGATAAAAAAAGAGGTACCAAGAAGTACCGGTATTCATTAGAATTTCAAGACTGATAAGATCCATTGCTGCAAGACAAGGTTCCTCTGATAATTATTACCGCTAACCTAACTCAAGTGACAATTTTGGGAACATCTAAGTGCGCGACTTGTGCATTAAGTGAAACCAAGGCGATAGGCATCAGACTTATTCCAGAAAGGGCCCTAGTTGCATTTCAGTTCCAGTCAAAATTATAGGTGACACATATTATGAATGTTTGTGATGCAGATTTGATACTCCTTCGAATAACCTTTTTAGTCAGTAAATGATCCTAAATTTTATTTGTTTCCCTATCCTTCAGCACAGACAATTTCTTTCTACAGGGGTTGGCTCAAGAAAGAGGTTTGTTGAACTTTATTTTCTGTAAATGGCGTTCAAATAGAATCTTATCTGGGGGAACTATCTTTCTTATGCTAATTGTTATATTTTTGACAAAGTTACATGATATGGTAAGTAAATGAACCACGAACCATTTGCCTCGACTATATGAGCTGACCGTTCGCACAGTGTTACCTGAGATTTCTGAATTCCTCACGTTTAAGGGTTATAACCGGCTTCAACACTTCATCTGCAACTCTCAGGAGGAGCAAGGTGAAATTTTCAGAATTGTAATTGCAATTTAAAATCATTGGGGAAGCTGCAGAGATCCTTAACAACATCCTTATCACACACAGCGGGGTTGAAGAGGCTGGGAAGATCTGCTTCCTCAAATGATTTGGTGCACCAGTAAGACAGCCCTTTCTCAAGCATTTGGGTCAGGTGAGGTTGAATGAGAATGAAGACGTATATCCGGAAAAAGTGTAGTGTTTGAGATTATCAAGTTATGCAGACTGAGAACGATGGAAATAGAATTACTCAGCATATATGTGATTTTTGAAATATTCAGTATAATAAATACAAGAAGCTCAGAGTCATCTCCACACAATGTTCATAGAATAAACAAAAATGGTTGACTTCGGGAGGAAAACAACTACTTTCCTGGCTTATGCCACGCAGAACATTGAATTACATCCTCCCAAAATTTTTTCATCGACTCGTATAAATGAATACTGATACAAGTGATTCTTTCCTGAATGCCTATTGATTTCGATTCAGCCAGGCTACGCTAGACAACTTCAGACCGGTTTCGAGCCCTTTGACTCTTATCAGTGCAGTTTGGTCTCCAGCCAGCAGTCCTATGACTGCCGACTCAGCGCAGCCTAGCCAAACAAAAATCAAGTCGGCATTATATTCTCCCAGAGGCGTCTTCCATCGACAATATAAAAGCAACGCCATCTGAGTAGAACAGAAGGAAAGAATCACTTCAATGCTATCATATGTCAAATTTACATGCATATGGAAGCAGATGACAAATTTTCCTGAAATTTCAAGACTGGCGCCTTCAGCAATTTAAAAATATCATCGAAATAATAACGCAAAACAAATGATTCACAATAGACTGATTAGTTATTTTTTTCTGCTGTTATGAGTGGAAGTTGTTAATCAGAATTAGATGCAACACTTTCAGTGAATCAAGAAATCCCTAAATTATTTCGCAAAATTGAAAAGTTGAAAAATCATTATCACCCCTCACACAGTAGTCGATGAAATCTTCAACCTCATTGGGATATTTTATCTATATGGAACTATAAGCGGAAATTATAGAAACATCCACCTGCTCGCTCAAAATAATTATCCTGGTAGTATTCTAAATGATTTTCACTTGCTCTTCTTATTGTTCTCATTTTGAAATAATTTAATATCAATCATAAGGAACTGTGTACATGAAACTGAATGATCTATACACTGTCTCCAATATCATGGTGTCTATCATGTGGATCTCGAAGACTACATAAGGAATACGAAGATCGTTGAATCAGAAAGAAGTTGCGCATTTTGAAGACTGACAATATTCCGTTCAGAAAGTTTTAAAAACCCGAGTAGTTTCGGAGGTATCCCTGAACAACCGGAATTTGCCGGTTTCGTTTTTATTTCTTCCTGGCGTTATAGGGATATTGGGGAACAGAAGACACTTCCCCATTGCCACTTTTGAAGCTCAACTAAATAGCGTTGAGAGATTTACCGTACGATGTTTCGTTTCGAAGAAACCATTTCCGAAATCCCATGATAGACATCCCTATCTTGGAGACAACGAATGAGTACGTGATAGAGTTATTATCACTCTGGAAGGAATCTCATTTTCGATCTGAATGCATTCGATCTTGACCCCCAAGACGATTTCGGCTGCGGCACATTTTCACAGTGCGGCAATTTTTCAGGATTTCTTGATCTCTTCTGGTATTCACTGTAATGACGCTCATGTGTTGTTCTGTTGTTGTATTAGTGTTCAGGACAAAAAAAACGACACAATGATATCGATTCTTTCAGATGGTGAGGCCGCTATCAAGGCACCTAGGTTTGATGAGATTCAATTCAAACTAGTTTGGGAGGTCTCCCAGAAAATATCAGAGGTCACTCTTTAATTCATTCAGCAAAGATAATCGTCCAGTTCAGCTTGTTTCGATATGCCTCATAAATTTTATTCAAATGTCATTGTTGATAAGCAGTAGTATATAAAGTGAATGGACACACGTGAAATTGAATAATCTGTTCGATTTCACTGGATTTCCAGCCGATCGCAGAATGTGGTTCACAAATATATTAGTTGTGTTAATAGTCGGTGTAGCTTTAGTAAAATCAAGTCATGCTCAACCATATACTTTCCGTAAGTACCAACTACATTCATGAATTTACAGAAGTCGATTGACTATTGAATGCGAAAAACAATGTCATATCAAAAACATTACAATATTAGTTCAGGCAGCCAATATATTAACTTCAGATTGATGATTCTATAAGTAAAACCAACAATATAATCGAAAAATTGTATTCTACTTTAGAAATGCCAAGAAAATCATGATTCAACTCTCTGAGGAAAAGATAATCACATGAAGGATGAATATTTTTGAATAAAAAAATCGAACTCTTCACGAATCCGAATGAAGAAAACAGGGGAGAAAAGAGATATGTCACAATATAGTGGAGATTGACTTGACACCGCCATCTGATAGCCTAACCACTATATTTTAGTGTAAACAGAAGTCCATAGTGATCAGATGGTGAGGCCGCTATCAAGGCACCTAGGTTTGATGAGATTCAATTCAAACTAGTTTGGGAGGTCTCCCAGAAAATATCAGAGGTCACTCTTTAATTCATTCAGCAAAGATAATCGTCCAGTTCAGCTTGTTTCGATATGCCTCATAAATTTTATTCAAATGTCATTGTTGATAAGCAGTAGTATATAAAGTGAATGGACACACGTGAAATTGAATAATCTGTTCGATTTCACTGGATTTCCAGCCGATCGCAGAATGTGGTTCACAAATATATTAGTTGTGTTAATAGTCGGTGTAGCTTTAGTAAAATCAAGTCATGCTCAACCATATACTTTCCGTAAGTACCAACTACATTCATGAATTTACAGAAGTCGATTGACTATTGAATGCGAAAAACAATGTCATATCAAAAACATTACAATATTAGTTCAGGCAGCCAATATATTAACTTCAGATTGATGATTCTATAAGTAAAACCAACAATATAATCGAAAAATTGTATTCTACTTTAGAAATGCCAAGAAAATCATGATTCAACTCTCTGAAGGAAAGATAATCACATGAAGGATGAATATTTTTGAATAAAAAAATCGAACTCTTCACGAATCCGAATGAAGAATACAGGGGAGAAAAGAGATATGTCACAATATAGTGGAGATTGACTTGACACCGCCATCTGATAGCCTAACCACTATATTTTAGTGTAAACAGAAGTCCATAGTGATAACGCAGCATAGTCAGCTAATATCCTCGTTTGGAAATACGTTCACATGGAGAAAAAGCAGAATGTCCACTTCAAAAATGTGCTTGCTTAAATACAGATTCCTTTGTAATTTTAAGGGATTCTTTTCACACTGTCACAATGTCAAAGTGATTTCTCAGGCAAACAGGAGATGAGAAAAATAAGAGATACGTCCACCATTTTTTCTTTTCTTGGATCGTACGAAAGGGAATCCCAATAATGTTCCGGGAACATCATGGGAATCTGGGGAGGATAGGGAGAGGAGGTAGGTATTGGGATTTACCTCAACTTTTGTTGATCATAAATTCTTGGGATTACTCTATCGGCAAAAATGCCAATGCTTTGCCGTTCTGTGTATAAACGAGTTTTGGTAAAGAGTTGTTCGATCTATTCCAAGGTTGACGACAAGAAGGTGTGCTGACTGGGCTTATCGAGTTCGTCTGAGTGATGGGTATAAAATAATTATAATGTCACATGAAGATTCCCACTCATATCGCGTGAAATTTATAAAAAATTATCAAATTATAGAGATGCTAGATGTACTATATGACAACTAACCACTCATTAGGTAGTGAGGCGAGAATGAAGAAATGGTCCAGAGCAGATGATTGCGAGTGAACATTCCAGTTTTTTAACAATTTAATTTTTCCTTCAATCTTTGGACTTATTTTTTGTTTTCGATGATTTTTCCATTCAAATATGATTTTCATTTCTAGTTGTTCAACTGTATTGCTCATTTTACTCCATCGAATTGATCCAGGTGGTTTGATTTCGGTTTTCTTCAACTTCCAAGACGTAAGAAAGTTTTATACTTTGTAATGCGTTTTTCTCGAGACTTATTTTTGTGACATTTACCCTTTTTTACCCTGTGGTCTTCAATTGATGTTGTTATAGTGTCTCACACCATCGAAACAATGATATTGAATGTAAACTTCTGCTAATATCGATCATACTTCAACAACTAAATTTTTTTTGTTCTAAAATTTGTTCTATCCGTCATTCGGTTGCCCCCTTACGAGCAACCCTCAAAAGTCTTCGAAAGTCTTGTGCGAGCAAGGAATGACGAGGGCCTTACCTTTTAACGTGTGATCCCAAACACTTTCTTGGGCCATCAGAAAAATGTCTGCAGTCGACGGGGATCGAACCCACGACCGGCAAGCGAATGCGAATTAGAATATAGACACTCTGTCCGCACGGCTACCTGGCCACCAAGTGTTTTGATATTCGTCCAAATTGTACCATATTGCCTACCAACAATTTCTCATCGACTCAACTTCGAATCGTTGTGAATCGTGAATTTTTCTGCAATAAATATCCTTTCATCACTTCTGATCATGCGAAGATTTTCAATGCCACAATACTGTTCTTCTTTCAGTCGTTAATAGATTTCTCAGTTGATATTTCGATTGAACGTGATATTTCCAATCATGAAATATTTGTCTCATCAGGAACTCATCGATGGTAATAACTTGGTTTTTGAGTTGAACCAAGATTTGGTTTATCTAGGTCAGATTCGAATTGGGTGGGTCTTTTATTGCTCACACTCATCAATTACTAGTTTTCCTACCCACAGCTTGACTGATAAAATGAAATATAACTAGAATACCATTAATGGGGTTGAAGTTATCAGGAAGGTTTGTCTAGAAAAATATTTTCACTTCGAAAATTCGTAAAATGCAGTCTGTCAATCGTGTATAACCATTCTGATTTTATATCAATACGTGCCTTTGATGATGAAGCCTAGAAGATATTTTAAGTATTATTGGACCTTATAATATTGTTTGATAATCCGGTACAGTGGCATACTTGCTTTAGTGCATTTTTAACACCAAAACATTGTTCTTTACAACTATTTCTTCTCGCTTGAGGAATATAAAATTTGAAGACATGCAATCGAGATCGTCTGAACAATACTGTATCTTGTAGAATCCCTCGCATATCACTTGAAATTGGCATCACATAAAAATGGCATATTATGTTCGATATGCTGCATTTTCCAGTTTTTCAAAAAAAAACTCGAATAACTCGAAAACCGTTCTTTCCATGTGGGCGGTATGATACCTGAATTTGTAACAGAATCATGAGGAAAATTCAAAACTGTTGTTGAGAATAACAAAGATGATGTTACTTCCGAAAAAACCGGTAGGTTCACAAAAACGGAAATATTTGATTTCGAGTCTCCATGCTTTCTTCACCATCCCTAAAAATTGAAAATTGCGCTACTTCTATTTCTTCGAATATGAATCGCTCCAACTCATGAAGATAAACCCTGTATATTATATTCGAAACAATATTGATACCACTTGTTCTCCGAACTGGAAAACTGCAACAGATGGATTCAGCAGAAATATACTGTCTTCAGATTTCCAACTTGAAGTTAACATTTACAACATGTGCTCGGTGATCAAAAGAGGATAGGTTCATCAAATTCGATTTTCAGTTCATTTCAGATTGCACTGAATCTTCACAGTCTTTGTGCTCTCTTTCAAAACTGGCACTGATTCAAGCAGAATATTGAACTCGATTATTTCTGAATAACACGTTGACTTCGACCAAATCAACATCGAAGAAAAATATTTTATGGGTATTTTAGATATCTCTCTTACAAGGTGTAACGTGACCATTATGATTATGATACTCATTCTGAAGGATCAGGAGATTGAAAGGTGGATGAAAATTCCACGAAAGAATTATAGATTTTCAAAAATGAGAATAATGAAAATGAAATAACTTGATTTCAGCTGACGATTTTGTATTCTGCGATCTCGAATCTCCCGACCTTTCTACATGTTTGAGAGATAAGTTACAGAATTGGACGACAATGCTTGGAACACGGGGTAAGTTCAGACTCACATCGTAATTCATGAGCACACAATTGAATCATGAATCATTACTTTCTCAATCTTTTCCACGTATACAGCCTCTCATTGATTATATATATAGTTTGAATTCATCTCCTCAGTTCATCATATTGAATATAATCATCGTTTTGAAATATTGAAAGAATAAAATATAGAATGGTCGTAAAAAAATTAACGAACGATAAGATTTTCAAAATATTCTAGAACATTCAGGTGGATTACTCACTATCCATTATAATAGAGTTAGGCAAGCAAATGTGAGTTGAGTTTATTGTACCAGTATTTCACTATCCACCTGAGGTAGCTACTGTGTTAGCGAAACATGTCGTGTGATAAAGAATGTTGTGAAAATTTCATCGTTTGTGAAGTGTCTCACATTTATTATGGATTCTCATCAAGTAACGGCCGAGTCAATTAAAAAAGAAAATGATCTGATAATAAAAAACAACTCGCAATAGATCAAATATATTCCAATGAATGTGGAATCATTGAGAGTCTATAGAACTCGATATATGTATCATCGATGTTTCTGAATGAATTGTTTGCCCACAATACTCAATAGGCATTTAATTTTCCATTCCAAGATATCTTTCTCGACAAAATATTATGGAACTGGAACCTGAAACATAGTTCAGATAACTTATTCACATCCAGTTCATAAAAGATGTAATTTTAATTTCTCTACTGCCACATGTTTAGACAGCATGTACATATTCAAATTGCACATGTCATATCAATCGATTGATACTCTTTTCTTCTTTGTTCCAAAGCTCTGAATGTAATGTCTATTTATAAGTACTTTTACTAACTTATTATCTACCTTTATTCACTCTATGATATGTACTATATATACCCAATGAGTTGATATATTATAATTATATTATTATTACTGGGACATAATTTCATGTAATAACTCATGAATCTTTCAGCTTGGTGTCATACAGAAGTATTGATGCATAAACCTGGTTAAAGCCAAACTGATGGTAACATTATTGCACATCGCATAATATGGTTTCGTGGCAGAAACTTGAATCATTCACCATTTCTTTTTTTCTTCTTCTTTCTACATAATTGGAATTGAAGTTCATTATTTCGAATTGTCAATAGCTGATGAAAATACCTCTATGGCTATGTTTCTTTCCAGGTATTAACCATCCAATACGATTCACCCTCGAACCCATGGTAATCGATTTTTGGGTTCTAAACATGAACCTGAACTTTTTGAATAGTACTGAATATCTCTGGAACTGCACGTTCTCACAATTCTGGAATTCGACAGTCATATCTGCCTCGTAAGTATTGTTTGAGATGTGATAGAAGACAGTGCTTTCGTGAAGTATTTTGAGTCAAACTGTGCATTTCTGATAAATCTCCTGGAACAGTTCGATTTCAATTTTCAATTTGCCACATCTATAATAAAAATCGTATATACATGGTGATCCACGTTTGAGTTATGACGATCGCGACAACTTTCCCAGATGGAACATCCTATATATAGCTCATCATGGAGATTGAAAAGGATTGTCGCGGTTATCATACCTCAAACGTTGAAGATTGAATCGGATGAATTGGTTTGTCTTTTCGTGGGAACCAGAACAAAAAAAAATTATTTGTCTGCATCCTGAAATTCATTCTTAACTTCATACGAAAACAAAGTAGATGTTTTATGGAAATGATTCTGAGCACTTTTCAACGCTGATATCAATGATTATATTTGGAAATTCTCGAGCTCATCGAGATCAGAGTTCATGCCAGTAGACTTTCCCTATACATTCCAATTTTCAATTCAATGCTGAATTCATTGGTGAGTTATATTTTCATATCATTATACATCATATCATATCCGATTTGAGAAAATATGTCAATTCTCAATTTCGGAGAATTCTATTTTTTACCTTTTTTATTTTCCATGTTCTCCTTTCAGATGTTCATCAGATATGATCGACGTGACAAATAGCCAGGACAGTAGTTGTTTTTTTTCGAATATTCAAAATGATGTGTGCATGTACATATTTTTGTCTGAAGGAGAATGCAAGTTCTCAATTTCAGAATTTTATATTTCATTCTCAAACTCTCATCGTGTGTTTGATAGATATGATCCGATGTTTGTCGTGGCATATAGCCAGGAAAGTAGTTTTTTTGTTGAATGAACTAAAAAAGAGTAGATATTCTCATCACATAGAGATTGCGAATTCTCAATGTATTGCTTTATATATATATCAATTTTTTTATGTTCATAATTCATCTGGGAATATTCCTTTCCAACACTTTTCATCACTTTCATCACTTTTTGATGATGATGATTCGAGAGCATGAAGGCGCTGAGATCTTATAGGACTCCCACCGAGACATAGGTTCGATGTTCCACCATCTTCAGAACTGCCCTATTAGAACTCGTGCAAGAATTGTTGCACTGAGTTCCAAACTATGTCAACCAGTTGTTCAATGGAATTCATAACCCGACTCCAGCACTCAGTGCGGGCCAGTTCTACTAATGGAATCCGGTATAATCAAACATATTTCGAATTATTATTCGCACGATAGGTTCAATTGTGGTTATGTTAGGACTGAGATTTGTTCAGTTGAAGAACCTGATTCGCATCGAGCTCCAGTTTTATATGTACATATATGGTGATATGTTTCACCGATTCGTATAAACTGAGTTTGTGAGGAGGCATAGGAAGCTGAAGTAGACGAAGTACTAAGGAGTACTCTCAGTATACTTGGGAATACAGAATTCTCATTAGGAGAATGGGTTCTTGAAATGAAATCATGTCGTTTCACTATTATATTTAATTTGGGTGTAACAAAATCTCACAGAGAAATTTTGAAATTATTCAAGGTGTTCATGGTACGTCCTTAGTGAGATATCAAACTGAATGATACAATATCACGGAAATTCTTGAATCAGATGAGAAATTTCAACTCACTCTTCATCACAGCTTGTTTTCGCGCATGCGTTGTGAATTCATGATATCTACTTCTTCTGAATTGAAAAATCTCGAAACCTCATCTTCTGAAGTTCATGAAAGTATGCAAAGAGTATCGGAGTAAATCTGAATCGAGGCCAACTGACATTCATATGATATCTTCGACATTCATATGATATCTTCGACATGACAAAATCATAAATGATATGATATGATAATTACATTTCCATGAAGATCCAACTTCAACAGTATAATATACTCCTTTCGAACAAACATTGCTCAAAAATGGTTCAAAGGCGAGTTGAACTTCTCGAGCGACCATTGAGGAATGTTTATGAGTAATACCTGGAAATGCACTTTCAAACATACTCTCATGCTCTTAGATTCCATCCGGACATTGAACTTTGACATTATTGAAACACCATAGACACTTTTTCAAAGATACTACAACCGAAAATGTTCTCCAGATTTATCTGCTATCATTCCACGACTCGCGAATACCTGCCGGACGAGCGTAGTCAGCACATATGTCGAACAGTACTATATGAAAACTCGTTTCCTCATAGAACTGAAAAGCTCTGGAATTCATTGCCTGAGGAAGTATTCCTCAGAACTTATTATCTCCAAAAGTGAAAAAAAAATTTCAACACCTATCTCCTCTCCCTATCCTTCCTAGGTACGCACGATGTTCCTCGAACATTATAGAGATCTTCTCTCGTGCGATGAAGCGATAAAGAAAAGATCATTTTTTTAATGCAAAAATGATGGGGTTTCAAGGTAAAGATCATTGGAATCTTCGAATTGCTCACAGGATGGCGATTCCTTGGAGTTGTTTTCCCAATAGTGCACCTATGAAAAAACTATCATTAATGAACAGGACACGAAACTGATAGGTGTCAGGAGGAGATCAATAGGAGGAAATAAATTAATGAAAATTTTCATCAGATAGACAAGTTGATTTTATGACTGAAGTAACGAAAACAGGAACACTTAGATTAGCTCCTTTCTCAGTGGCGCAACGTCCTGTTTCTGAATAATGCCAGATTAGGTTAAATAAATGACTTTCGAGAGTCTAGGAAGACCCAGGGCGAAAATCACTCTTTCTAGAGGGGTTTTCCTCCACCAACGCGGATCAATGGTATTTCTGAAGTATAAACAGGGTGAGTTATGAAGAGCTGTATATACGCCTACGTTGAACGAATGCCCTGAGGGAAATACCTAATGATCATCAAATACCGTCTTCTCCTCTTATCCACTGATATATAAGGAAACTTGGGCAGAAATATCTCCTGGTCATAACTATCCAACAGATTCTTCGTCTCTTCTGATTTTTTCATGGTATATTTCGGCTGACCTATTCAGATTCAAGAAAATTCACGAGCGTTCTTGAGAAATTTTCCTAGTTTGAATTATGTAGGAAATTTCATCTTGTGTATGGTTTTTGTAAACTGTGACTGGAAAATTTCAAAGGTCATGAACGAACATAAGAAAAAAATTTTCAAAATTCTTCACGAAATAAGTAAATAAAACAATGCATTCTAAGCAATAAAAACGAAACTCTGACGACAATTGATAAATTCGAAGACGAAAAACTGAACACGCATAAACTTCACAACCAAAAGTGAAACTTACATTTTCAATGCTGTAGCGCGATGGAATTAAACATGTTCTTTTATATCCTGGCCTGGATTTCGTTATTGAATCCGTCAAGGATGGTTTTAATCAACCTGTAGTTATTTTCTAAATTAGTGTATGGAGTGAAGGAGTTCCCCGCCTGGAAATGGAAAGACCATGTTGATTTCCACTGAGCTGAACTTCTGGAAATATAAGTCCTACTTTGATTCGTGAAATCCATGCATTGCGATTTCTTCATCCTTAAATGAATAAATTCGTTGGCAAACTCCCGTTTCTGCTCAGAATTCATCGTTTCTTCAACAATTCAGGAAAGTGTGAGGAAAATATCGAATATTTTATTTTCGAAGCTTTGACCTCCGGAAATTGTCTGTCACAGTTCACAAAAACCCATTCACAGCATGAAATTTTTGATAATCAGTGCAAAATTTCAAGAAAGTTCCTGGATACTCTCGATTCTGACTACGTCAGTTGATTAGAAAGTGTCAGCAGGATATTCAATGAAGAAATCAGACGAATCGAAGAAGCTTTTGGAGAGTTATCATCGAAAGATGTTTTCGAAATATCATCTTATTCACCCAATATATGAGTGAAGAAGAGAAAACACTTTCTGATGATCATCAGGTTATCCCCTTAGATGCCTCTTTTCCTGTGGTCTCTTATAACCCACCCTGTATACAGGATGTTTCATCACTCACTAGGAATTTTTCAAATGTATAATTCTGAGTTCAAAATATGGAGATTTTACCCAAACCACCTAGCGAAAATAACTCACCGTTCTCAGTAACAGGGTATTTCCAAAGAGGAGATCCTCACAAAACTTTACGTCACTGGCAGAATTGCCATTTCATCACAATTACTAAATTAATCGATACACCTTCTAGTTAATGTGATACTTTTTCTCCATAGCAATTATGTCATAACTTCTCGAAATATCTCGAGTTGAACAGTAAGCTGCACAATTAATTTGGTTTTGATATGTATTAATGATTATGTCGATGTCGATATCAACAGAGAACACATGCTAACATTGAAATCCCAGAATTTTTGAATATTATAAATAAGGGAACAACCTGTGATAGTCAGGAGACACTTTCTCTCTAGGTGATTTGGTTCGAATCTACATATTTTGTGCTTAGGATTTCATAGCTGACATTGTTTCAATTAGTGTATAGTGTATAACCATTATAGAAATCCGCACATAACACCTTATCAAATGTGCAAAATGTACTTATTTTGGAAATAAAATTGAATCAGCCGAAAACAAAAGCAAAATCACATGGGACGTAGTAAAAACTTTAACTGGTAAAAGTAGTCGTTTATCTGATAACATACACATAAAAAAAGATAATACTCTAATCGATGACCCAGTCAACGTTGCCAACGAATTTCTAAATTTTTTCTGTAATGCCGGCACAAGGAACATTTCCAATGTCACGAGCAATTCATCAAGCGAAAACTACATTAAACGAATGAATATGAACTTTTTGAACTCCCTCAATTTTGCGCCCATCACCGAGTCGGATATTGTTAACTGCGCTAGTGCTCTGAAACCGAAAAAATCTTCAGGAATAGATGAAATACCAATGACTGTCATAAAAAATAATATCAACTTGTTGAAAGCCCCTCTCACGTTTCTTTTCAATATGTCTCTATCCACTGGAATATTTCCTAACTGTTTCAAAACATCTGTGGTAGTACCGATTTTCAAGAAGGGTGATAAATCCGAGATAAACAATTATAGGGCCATATCATTATTAGCAAACTTCAGCAAACTACTCGAATGGATAGTTAATTATCAACTCAAAAATTACCTGCACACCAAAAATATTCTGACAGAATACCAATTTGGATTCAGAAAAAACCTTAACACAACCGATGCAGCTTTTACGCTCTTGGAGAGATTACACAATATCCTGGAATCAAGAGAATTTCCACTTGGTATATTCTGTGATCTCTCCAAAGCGTTCGATTGTGTGGATCATGTAATTTTGCTGAATAAACTAGAATACTATGGGATCCGAGGGATTGTTAAACAGTGGTTTGAAACTTATCTAAGAGATAGGGAAATGTTGGTAAGAGTAGAATATAGGGCACAGAACAGAATCGAACACTATCAATCAGGAAGGGGTCGCATAGAAACCGGCGTACCCCAGGGTTCTATCCTCGGACCAACACTGTTTCTCATCTACATAAACGATATAGTCTGTAATTTTCCCAATATATCATTTTCTATTTTTGCTGATGACACTAGCGTTGTTATCAGTGGCCTCTCGGTTGATGACCTCACCTCAAAAGCGCAAATCACAGTGGATGGTTTAGCAGACTGGTTTTCGTCAAATAAGCTATCATTAAATATATCAAAGACTCAAAATATTATGTTCAATCCATATAGAAATACCCAAGATATTGAGATTACCTTGAACGAAGAAAGTCTTGAGTCGAGTAATTTCACAAAATTTCTGGGGATAACTATCGATAGCAAACTCAATTGGACGGAACATATAAACCAGTTGAACTCCAAACTCACCAAAGCAATATACGCATTAAGAACTGTCCAAGCGAACACAAATCCTCAGGTCTCAAAAATTGTATATTTTGCATACTTCCATAGTCTGTTGCAATATGGGATTGAATTTTGGGGTAACTCTGTCGGTATACAGTCCACGTTTATAATTCAGAAACGCGCGATCCGCACTCTTTTCAAATTAAATTATCGGGATTCATGTAGAGACTATTTCCTTCAAAATAAAATATTCACCTTAACTAATACATATATATTAAAGATTTCCCTATTGATTCACAAAAAACGTGATATTCTCCAATATTCAAGTCACCGTCACCAGTATTCCACACGTACAAAAAACATAAGTTTGCCTAACTACAACTACGAAAAAACTCGAAATGGACCCCTGTATACAGGGATAAAAGTTTATAACCATTTACCGTACCACATGAAGGAAACGTCCGCCAGAAAATTCAAACAGTCATTGAAAAAGTTATTACACCAGCATGTATTCTACAACCTCAATGAATTTTTTGCCTTATCTTTTCCGGAAAACTATATAGTTTGATCTATTATACTACTCTTGATACTTACGTTATTATTATCATCCATTTATTATTGTTGAAACTTCTCCTTTACTATATATCAATATGATATCATTCATTCATTCATTTATTGTCAAAATAACTAATTTGTAAATACTTTACTCATGTCAAAATTAACTGATTTGTAAATACTTTTCTCAGTGATACTATTCCTTATGCCAATGGCTATGTACACCCTGTTGTATATTGGAAATAAAATACTTACTTACTACTTACTTACTTACTTGAACAAAATTATCAATAACCACCTAGAAACCAGACACAAGTAGTGTCAATCAACTACATTTTGGAAATTATTCCATGTTGTACAGGGTATGTCAAGAACACGAAATATGCAGAAGTTGCGATTTTTGAAATGGAATGTCCTCTATATCATTGCTGTCTGAGATTCTTCCCATAAAGCTCACACTTCGGTTCTAGCGTGAATGATCACAGAGATATAGGGTGTCTTAAATCGATATTTCTCAATCTGAGAATCTGTTTGTGTCAAAACTATTCATTGGTCAAAACGGCTCAACTTTTCAGTTACTTTCTACTGACATTCAATCAGTGGAAGTATTCCCAACAACATATAATCTCCAAAAATTCAAAAAAAATCCAATACCTACCTCCTGTCCCTATCCTCCCTAGGAACGCACGATGTTCTTTGGACATTATAGGAATTCCCTTTCGTGCGCTCCAATCGATAAAAAAAAACAGATATAGGGTGATTAGACTTCTTAATTTTTTAACCACCCTGTGTTCTTTTCAATTTAATGTCAGAAGATAGTGATCAGAAGTGAAGACAGGGACATTTGAGCCGTTTCAACTCATGATGACTAGTCAGACACAAAAAAATTCAAAGTTGAAAGATATCTGCAATCATTCCCGCGAACGGGAATGAGCGCTACTTCAGAACGCGCTATTTTGTTACGCGCTGTTTTGTTACAGCTCTATTTTGTAACGCGCTGTTTTGTTGGCGCTGTTTTGTCACGCGCTATTTCGTTGCAGAGCGAATAATCATTCTGAATGTATCATCATTGAATATGGGTTCTCTTTATTCGTAGATATAATCCAGAAAACTATACTCTCGTTTACACTTCTTACTACCCCCACATCATCGAGCATGGAAGATATCAAATGTTTGGTACAGTTTCATTCGAAGACGGATCAGTCGACGCCATTTACGGAAATGGTCCATATGATAAACATATATGTAAGTACCTTCCAATATAGGAATTCTAAACTATCTGCTTTCGATGCCGTTGCGTAATAACTGCTGTTAAAATTTATTTCTCAGCTGAAAGCCAATGCGTTCCCAAATACTGCATGTGGAAGGATGATGAATACTATTTCTTTGATATTCTTTCGATGTTCACTTCGCTTCTTTATGAAAAAAGTGATAGTATCATATCGAAATTCTTCTAATCAGGAGGAATCATTAACGATGGATATCGACTGAATTTCTCACTTGAAAATAACCTTATTTGTCCCTACTACTTATAAATTTGGAGAAATGGAATGAAAAAATGAGAAATTGAGAGGAATTTTCGATACAATGGACCCAATGTAGGGGAATAGATGTAGATTGATTGCACGAAGGTGCATTTCATGATGTTTTGCATTGATATCAAGCTATACAAACTACATAGGCACCAGATAATCCAAGTTTGATTTGAGTCAACATTGCGGGATTCATCTAAGGCCGAGCACAATATTTGTATCTCGAATGTGCGGAAACAGTATGCGTGTATATTTTTTTATCATGATAATAATATTGAAGGTATTCAACCGTTGTTGGTGAGAGTTGATTATGTGAAATGATGACCTCGAACAAGTAGTAGTAGTAGTAGTAGTACCATCAAGGGACTACTGCCGGGCAAGTAGGCTTCCATGAGTGATGTTTGCCACATGTGACCTGACCAGAAGTTGAAATAAATCGATATATCAAGAAGAAAATCTGTGATTCAGATGACTTTTTCATTTGAATCAGTTAAATTCACTGCATTATTCCAAACCTACATGAAGATGAGATCCAGACTCGGAAAATTAGTAGTTCAGTCGTATTATTCATCGCATACTTTCTGATTCGTATTCGTTGATTCTCCAATGAGACCTTAATGAAACGGATAATATTTGCAATTTCTTATTTCAGATGGCTTGAACCTCACACACAAAATAACCTTCGTCCCAGTCCTGAGAGAACATGGAGTTGAATACTTGCAAGTATCTCGCTACGAACTCGATTCAGATGGATTCAGAGATACTTCATTGCAATGGCATAACTTATACAATGGTGACACTATTCGTGGCAATAGAACAGTCACTAGACTAGCCCATAACGCCATGGCCTTGGGTGGTGCACTAGCAAAACCATTTACAGATATGACCATTGCTATGTTCAGACTCTACACCGAAAACTTGATCAGCAGTGTGCCAAGAAGACAACTTCGCAGACATTTCTCCAGACATCCTTAGGAAATTCACCTGACAAATTTGATGTTTTATCAATGACTGCGCTAATAAAATGTGAACGAATATGGAAATTCATTATTGATTATCTTGATGGGGAAGGTTGATACGACCTCACTATATTTTTATATCTATTAATGAATGTGAGGAAGGCAAGTCTCCGGCAACTGTCTTAACTGGTTAGCAATTGGCTAGTATATTGATTTTATCAGGTGACTTGGTAAGTGCCGAACTGGTAAAATGATAAAATATATCCAAATTTCAACATGAAGTGTGGAAATCAAGATCATTTTTGAACTCCTGCGTATCTCCCAAATAGCACACAACGGCCTAGGGACGTCCCTATTTGGTACAATTCACGTCCGAATGTTTCGGACCAAAAATAGGTGTCCTTGGGACGTCCCATACCGTACATCTCATGCAATGTCCGAGCAGGGACGTCCACGGAATGTCCCTGCTGGTACATCATTTCAAATGTCCTAGAAATAGCATTCCTCAGACGTCCCACGTGGTTAATATTGTAGAATGTTCATGCAAGGACGTCCTCATCATGTTCCTGATGGGAAATGATTTCAAACGTTCCTTTAGGGACATCCATCGGATGTCCCGATTAGTACATATACAGGCATGACTCCAGATCTTATATAATGTCCCTTCTAGACAACCATGAGATGTCCCTGATGGTACATTCCTTCAAATATCTCTGCACAGACGCCCTTGATATTTCCAGGATCGTATAACAATCGTAGGCTATAAGTAATCCTCGTCAATGTTCTTCACGTAAGTCTATTGGACATCCTTGAGAAACTTTTTGGGGACCTTCTACGGACCATCAACTCAACTGGATGTCCTAATCAGTTATGCAAGATCTGGTCCTAGAGGGACTCAGCAAATTCAAATTCAAGAAAAATTCGTTCGTCTTTGGGACATCCTATGGACACCCAATTGATATCCCTCAGCGTTGCTGATAAGTTGTCCTATGGATGTCCTGAGGATGTCCTCTGTAGTGTTCGATGAGAAGTGCTGTAGGATTTAGGTATTCGATAGTTGTCCCAGGGACATATCCCTCAATGACGTTCCTAGTTGGTCCTCAAGTGGGACATTTGTGCGTCCCACAGACATCCAATTGACGTCCACGGTACCAAATTCGAACGTCCTATGGACGTTCTGAATGTCCTGACGAGACGTCCTTAGGATATCCATGGGACCTAAGTGTGTTATTAGGGCTGGAGGAAATATGGAAACATTTCTCACCATTTGAATAAGAGCGATTGGAAATATGATAATATAAATAGTAGTACAACTTATGCAGTGAATAGGCGAGAACACAATATCACGAATTCAGTTCAAATGTGCATAAGAAATAAATATTACATTGAAATAATGTGTACCAGTAGTTTTTTCAACAATAAATGCTGTCATTATCCAAAGAACGCGTTTCCAAAACCATACAAATTTGTGGACCTTTCAAAAAACCAATAATGGCGGATACGTGATGACGTAACAAGTATTGGCGTGCATTTGGCAACGCTGTACTGTACCCTCAAAATATTCTTGAGCTTCTAACTTATTTCCTAACCTAGAAAATCGAACTCATAAACATCATAACATCAGAGTGTTTCTGCGATTTTTCATCTGCTTATATTATTTTGGGTAATCAAAATATTTAAATCATTGTGACTATTATTGTGACGTAGTCTGATGGTTCATGTTTATTGATTGGAGATATGATGCCAGTATTCGAAAATGCAATCTTCCAGTAGTTGATTCAACTATGGTTTTTGAATTCTGCAAATAAAAAGAACTGGCATGAGCTGTATCATAAAGGTGAAGATTAGTCCAGAACATAAAGTTCGCCTACACCATAAAGGGTTGAGGCTGAGATTCATGAAGCTGAAGAAACTGTAGTCTATTGTGGATGTATAGATTGTGCAGTTTCAAAAGGTGAAAGGTACATGAATTCTTGACATCTTTATAAACTGTATTCTCTTATATTCTTAGGTAGATGTAAATACATTGTGGCTTTCTTATCAGGGTTACATCGAAAAACCCTCTGTACCTTCTATGGAGTGTTACTGAAAAGTGTCCAACTCAGTGTCCTAACTTCCAAAATTTTGAGCTACCTATCAACATTCATGCCACCTGTAGAATCAGCACCAAAACAAGTTCCTACCCTTCCAGTGATTCTATCAACATTTCTTGGAGAAATTTCTCAAGTTGGTGGAAAACATGGATGCCGAGGATCACTGTTTTTGAAAGAGTTTGATTCATAAGCTGATTATTTTGTCCAGAAAACATTCATCCAATTTGTCTCCTGGGGGATTCCAAGACTTAATTCATCAGAATATCAGTGACAGTGATTGTGAATTGGTGCAAGATATAACAGTGAATCGAAATAAATCATCATTATCAGCATGGCTTGAGGTTCGCTATGGGCGAATAATTACTGCTTCAAAGATATATAATATGAGGCACAAAGTGCAAGACATTCATAGAGAATTTTGAGAATAATGGTAGTTTTCAATTACTTGAAGTGTCATATGACCTTATATTCCTTTAAAATCATGAAAGAAGCTGAATATTTTTGGCAAACTGTTATTTTCACCCATTTAATAAAATTATTAAATGTCAGTGCTACAGTAGTTTTTTTTCTCTTATTTCAGAATTAGACTTATTCAGAGTTCAGGAGTGTCTTATGAATAACATATTTCATCATACAAAACTTCAAAATCCCTTCTCATATTGATCATACACCATACCCTCACAACCTGGATATCTTGCTGGAGATGGTAGGTATATGAAATTCATGATTACTTCTTGTAGAAGTATCTAGTTCAGTCATATTTTATCAATGTCAGTGGAATATTGGTAAAAAAGAACAATACATCATTACACCAAGAAAGTAATGAATATATGTATTCTATTCATTTTGAGGTACATTAATTCTGTAGTAAGAAAAAAATCCAGTGAGTATAAACCAAGAAAGTACTGACATATCTAGAAATGATGGAAGAAGCAACATCAATTCTCAATTCAAAAAACAAACTCAAAATCATCCAAGCAAAAATCACTAGATAGGTATTGTCACTATTTTATGTGAGGAAAATTTCTCTAAAAAGTAAACAGATAGATAGTACACAGGAATTAACAAATGCCCCCAAGAATGTTGGTGGAAATTTTCATTTATTGTCCACTTTATACAGTAGATATGATCAGAACAGTTGAATATCAATAGACCTCCTAATAGATATATTTCATTTCTAGAAGGAATATAGATGTAGAACATAGAAATATTATATCAATATCTTGTCCAGATCATCACAAAGTTTGTGAGAAAACAAATAAACTCAATCATGATGGTAATAATCACAAACACATTTGTATATCAATCAGCAATATTCCTGAGTCATTTTATCACAATATGTTATGGGACTGTTGATTTGGTTCTGGTTCATAGTACTCGATGTCAGTCTCTTCCATGACAGGTTCCTTTTCAGGTTCTTCAAGAAAACTTTCCTCAGCTAAAACACTCACTGGTACTTCCAAGAATTTTCCACAAGGAGAGTCAATATGATTTCAGGGAAGTTCCATTTAATATCCTTTTCTGTGCTGAAGATGTAAGTTAGGATTTTAATGGGTGTTCTCTCAGTTTTGGACTTTTAATGAATATATGAGAAAACACGTCTTCAGGCATATAAACTCTAGATACAATGAGTTTTAATTCCATTCAATTCAACTCATCTTCAAGCTACAACAAAATGAGTATAATTTTAGAATCAATAATCCATATGGAAGAAAAAATTCTACTCACATCAAAATGATCGACACAGCAAGATATATTATTTGCTTTTAGGTATGGTCTATCAACAGCAATACAACAATTTTTCTAATGTCTTTCTTCAGAGGAACCAGGATAAACAGTTTATTCCTCGGTTTATCCATATACTTTGTTCACTGCCACCCCAGGAATGTGAATCAACGTTGATGAGAAAAAACAAATAATTCGAATGGCAGTAAAAATACAAATAATATTGGCTGACAAAAACAAATAAACAATAAAATAAAATAACAACTGACAGATAAACGAATTGTCAACTGTCCACACTGTCAACAGTCCAGAAGATATTAAGCGACGTTGCCAGATCACCGTCTAATACTTGTCACGTCACATTAACGCGCGATATTCCAGCTCGTTTGAACGGGATCAATACTTTTACGAATTTTTTGTGGAAAAACTACTTCGAATTAAAATCTGAAAAAAATACCTGAGTCATTTATCGTCATACTGAAGGTCATGGAATTTTTTCCAGAAATTAGTGTTCTGAAAGCCCTTCAACAATAACCTGTTCGAAAACTTCGAGTAGTGACACCCTGTATAGTCCCAGTAATTTCTATTAACTTGGAAATGACATTAATAAAATCCAGCTTGAAAACTCATGTGATGCAACCTTGTATCAAAAAACTATCATAACCCATCACCTTGAAATTGAACTATCAGTGAATACAAGTTGGATAATAACGAACAATTGAGATTACTAGGGAACGTAGACAGCTGGGTACGAAATCCTAGCACTAACATCTATGCAATAATTCCACTGAGAGGAAGTTATATCTATGAAAATGGCCACAACCGTAGCGTAACTAGAAACTCTATGCCCTGTGGTACCCTCAGAAAACTTCAGGGCTCCCTTGCAATGATCAATCACAGCTGTAACTCCATATGACTAACTGAAACAATACCTTATACCCCTGAACAGAGACCTAGGTACCCAATAAATAGAGATAGGCCACTCTGTGTCAGTTGAGTTCTATGAAACAACTTCAATTTCAGCTCCTCAAAGGTCAGATTGCACAGACAACAGTACTGATAGATTACTAGCAAATAAAATGTGTAGCACACACTCACCCGAGTGTCAGTAGGGTTTGTTTCCTATATAACCTACCAAGGTGTCTCAGGTTCCCTATATCAGACCTCATTTCTGTTGATATGTTTGAGGTCAGATTAT